CTCATGAAAGACCCCATAAATTTATTTCAAACAGAAAAGCTTCAAAACCTCTTATGTAAGTTTGATACCAGGATAGATGATATCGCTAACATGATTCTAATTACTCTACATATAAATGGTTGCAAATTCCGATAATAGATTAGTGCTGACACGATTGTGTTGTATACTCTGAAAAGTGAAGAATGCCTAGCGTCAAAGAAACTTAAATCCTAAAACTGACAAATAGTGTAGATATTTAACAATGTAGATGTAGCATAAATAAAAAAATCATATACCATAACTGGCTCAGAGTTTTGGATTCACTAGTTACTTCATTAGAAGCAAATTTTTGACAAGTTTGGCAATAATGACAGAATGAAACTCAGCTTTTGCTCTATTAAGCAAAGGCCTTCGGTTAAACTTCAAACGATTACTATTTTCGCGTAGACAAGCCTGTTATTAGCACAAAAACGAGAACATTACCATCAGTATCCCTCACATCTATCAAACAATGTTAATACTACTAAACTGCGACGTCTCTGGCTATCGTATTGCTCGCAATCATAAATCGCTTGTCTTATGTCTAGCGGCTAATCATACAAACCGGCTTCCGAAAGAGCGCGCAACTTACCACTATGATGTCTTCCCTAACGTACACGCGTGTACATAAGCGATAAACAGAAGAACATGCTTACGCCAAAATTAAAGCTTGTTTTATTAGTGTGAAACGCATACCTATAGGTCGGTCTGGATCGGCATGTCGAATCATCACCCATTCCCGCTCGGGAGGTGGAGCAGTGTTTACTGAAATAGTTTTCTTTGAATACACAGATATTACATGCAAATGACGAGTGTATATCTATAATAATCTATTCTCTTAGCTCCTATTCAGCAGATTAGCATTACCTCTACAAAATCAAAAGTGAAAAAACTAAATTCGAAAAATTATAAATTGCACTCTGCATATATAAGATATACACGTTATGACAAAAACATAAGGTAGTTATCTATTAAAATTAAACCTTAAAAGTCTAGTTAAAATGATACAGTACCGTAGATGCACTTCCACGGAACTGAGAATAACTCCAAAGCATACACAAATGAGTCAATTGATGTGCCTGCGACAAATCGATGAAGGTTAGAAAACTTTGCCAAGCGCTACTTTATTTCAAAAGTGCGTTTGCTGTGGTATCCAATTATTGCTGTGGACTACGTCTCAGAAATGAAACACTTCTGAACCACCCCGAAAATAAAATCCACGAGATCTTAGCTAGATTTTATCCTTTAGTCACGTTTCGCTCAAACCAGACTAGGAACGTGTAAGCGCAAGAGTGAACTGTCTAGGAGAGCGAACACACGGATTCCTCTAAGACTTTAACGCCATAAAAAAGACGCAGGCCTGATGTGACCGAATTCCTTCTGATCGAAAACAGAGCTCTTAGAAATTGCACATTTACGAATATGACGAAATGTATTTTAACAGATAAGTAAGCCAAAATGATAAAAACGCTTATAATTAATTATTTCAGTGAAAAAACATAAGATGGCGATTATGCTTGTAGTTCACCGACACAAATCGGCAACAAATAAGATAAGGTATACTGATAAGGTATACTGTTGTAGTACACAGTTTTACGAAGATAGTAGGGCTGATATCTCAAATCTAAATATTTCTTCGTATATATATTGAAAGCCGCATATCGCAGGTGCATGCATTTAAACACCTCTTCTGATTATTTGCGACTATTCAAGACATCAAATTATAATGGGGTAAAACATAAGACGAGATCGAAAAACTCACCAGTATATTTACTACCCGCAAAGTAGGAGTTCAACGGTAGATGCATAGACAATTTATCGACATGATGAACAGATTCGTGCAAGGATATATTCGCGCCATGAGTGGACGTAACAGACAAGTCGTGGGTAATAAGAGAGAGTAGGTCATTGAGGTCGGTGTTTGACATTAATGCGGCACAGTGGCTGCATCTTTGATTTAGAAATCTTGGATTATGTACGGGGGAGTATATGGAATCAGACGATAGTTGACAATTGGAGAAATTTTTCTGTGTGGGGTATTTGAATGATGCGGTGCTTACAACTAATGAGGTTCCAAGCGAAGAAATCGAGCAATGGCCAGAAAGGCCTCGGCAGTACGGCTGTGAGATCCAACAGGAAAGCGACTGACGAAGATGCTCCAGGTTAGAAGCAGACATCAACACATCCTCCTCTTTCATCACTCCAGGTGTTGCCTCATAAGAGTCAAACAAAGAAGATCGTGACTCGGAATAACTGAGCATCTCGTTCCGTAGGGCAACAATACGTTGATTGTACCGTCTCTGTTGTAAATCGGCCCATCTTTTCGCACGTCGTGCAAAGCGTTTTCCAGTTCCTCGTCCCACAACAATGCTCCTGCTTTGTCCATTCAGGTGCTGATCACCAAAGAGGTTGCTTTTATCGGAATTAGGGTTAGAGAACCCATCCGACATAATAACTCAGCTACAGTATCAACACATTGGCAAGGGGGAGACACGGGAATGTGATTTGAAGGATGAAACTGATATGTATGTAGACGCTAAAGCCAGTAGCCTGTTGATGTAGGCATAGGTGGGACCTAAGACTAGCCTAGTGGGCGTGGTTTGGAGTGCGTGCGCTGAGAATGATAGATGAGATGAGAAGATGTTCGCAAAGGTGACAGGCGACAAAAAAACAGAACTTCAGCCATCAAGAGATCCTGATTATTACGGATAAAATGCTTAACTTCCATCTACAATCAAATTGCAGTTTTCAGGTAGATGGAAAGAATCATGCAATGACTTGCAAATGGAGAAAAGGCGGTGACCAAAATAGTACAAGGATTAGGTAGAGAGATTTATCAAACCGCAACATTTCCATGATAATGGAAAATATCACATTGGGATTCAAAGTATAACAAAACAGAGTCTCTGAAATGCAAGAAATTACAAAAAGACTCGATTTAATCAATCTATTTCCATTTTCCTGTGCCTCCT